CAGGAGGTGTGTGTATGCATATATGAGGCTGAGAAGGACGCCCAAGAGGTGGTCTATGAGCCCGAGAAGGAAGCCCAAAAGGTGTGTGTTTGTGTGCGCATATGAGCCCAAGAAGGACGCCCAAGAGGTGGTCTATGAGCCCGGGAAGGACGCCCAACAGGTGATCTATGAGCCCGAGAAGGACGCCCAAGAGGTGTGTGTGTGTGCATATATGAGGCTGAGAAGGACGCCCAAGAGGTGGTCTATGAGCCCGAGAAGGACGCCCAACAGGTAGTCTATGAGCCCGAGAAGGACGCCCAAAAGGTGTGTGTGTGCGCATATATGAGGCTGAGAAGGACGCCCAAGAGGTGGTCTATGAGCCCGAGAAGGACGCCCAAGAGGTGGTCTATGAGGCTGAGAAGGACGCCCAAGAGGTGGTCTATGAGCGCCCAAAGGTGGTCTAGAGCCCGAGAGAGGACGCCAAGAGGTGGTCTATGAGCCCGGAGGACACCCAACAGGTGGTCTATGAGCCCGAGAATGAGCCCGAGAAGGACGCCCTAAAGGTGTGTGTGTGTGTGCAATGAGTGTCTATGAGTCTATGGGCCGATGTGTGTGCATATATGAGGCTGAGTAGGATGCCCAAGAGGTGGTCTATGGGCCCGACAAGGACGCTCAACAGGTGTGTGTGTGCATATATGAGCCCGAGAAGGACGCCCAAGAGGTGGTCTATGAGCTCGAGAAGGACGCCCAACAGGTAGTCTATGAGCCCGAGAAGGACGCCCAAAAGGTGTGTGTGTGCGCATATATGAGGCTGAGAAGGACGCCCAACAGGTGGTCTATGAGCCCGAGAAGGACGCCCAAGAGGTGGTCTTTGAGCCCGAGAAGGACGCCCAAGAGATGGTCTATGAGCCCGAGAAGGACGCCCGACATGTGGTCTATGAGCCCTAGAAGGACGCCGGAGAGGTGGTCTATGAGCCCGAATAGGTGGTCTATAAGCCCGAGGAGGACGCCCGAGAGGTGGTCTATGAGCCCAAGGAGAACGCCCGAGAGGTGGTCTATGAGCCTGAGAAGGACGCCCAAGAGGTGGTCTATGAGCCCGAGAAGGACGTCCAAGAGCTGTTCTATGAGCCCGAGGAGGACGCCCAAGAGGTGGTCTATGAGCCCGAAAAGGACGCCCAAGAGGTGGTCTATGAGCCCGAGAAGGACGCCCAAAAGGTGGTCTATGAGCCCGAGGAGGACACCCAAGAGGTGGTCTATGAGCCCGAGAAGGACGCCCATGAGGTGGTCTATGAGCCCGAGAAGGACGCCCAAGAGGTGCTCTATGAGCCCGAGAAGGACGCCCAGAGGATGAGCCCGCGCCAAGAGGTGCTCTATTAGCCCGAGAAGGACGCCCAAGAGGTGCTCTATGAGCCCGAGAAGGACGCCCAAGAGGTGGTCTATGAGCTGGTCTATGAGCCGGAGAAGGACGCCCAGAGGTGGTCTATGAGCCCGAGAAGGACGCCCAGAGTGGTCTATGAGCCCGGGAAGGAAGCCCAAAAGGTATGTGTGTTGGTGCATATATGAGCCCGAGAAGGACGCCCATGAGGTGGTCTATGAGCCTGAGACGGACGCCCAAGAGGTGTCTTATGAGCCCGAGAAGGACGCCCAAGAGGTGGTCTATGAGCCCGAGAAGGACGCCCAAGAAGTGGTCTATGAGCCCGAGAAGGACGCCCGAGAGGTGGTCTATGAGCCCGAAGAAGACGCCCGAGAGGTGGTCTATGAGCCCGGGAAGGAAGCCCAAAAGGTGTGTGTGTGTGTGCATATATGAGCCCGAGAAGTGGTCTATGAGCCCGAGAGGAGGTGGTCTATGAGGCTGAGAAGGACGCCCAAGAGGTGGTCTATGAGCCCGAGAAGGACGCCCAAAAGGTGTGTGTGTGCATATATAAGGCTGAGAAGGACGCCCAAGAGGTGGTCTATGAGCCCGAGAAGGACGCCCAACAGGTGGTCTATGAGCCCGAGAGGTGGTCCATGAGCCCGAGAAGGACGCCCAAAAGGTCTGTGTGTGCATATATGAGCCCGAAGAAGACGCCCGAGAGGTGGTCTATGAGCCCGAGAAGGACGCCCAAAAGGTGTGTGTGCGTTCATATATGAGACCGAGAAGGATGCCCAAGAGGTGGTCTATGAGCCCGAGAAGGACGCCCAAGAGGTGGTCTTTGAGCCCGAAAAGGACGCCCAAGAGGTGGTCCCGAGCGCCCAAGAGGTGGTCCATGAGCCCGAGAAGGACGCTCAAGAGGTGGTCTATGAGACCGAGGATGACGCCCGAAAGGTGGTCTATGAGCCCAAGAAAGACGCCCAAGAGGTTGTCTGTGTGTGTGCGCATATCTGTGTACTCAATACATGTGTTTGTATGTGTGTGTGTATGTTTGTTGTGTGTATAAAAGCACACACAATCGCGAATGTGTGTGTGTGTGTATGTGTCTGTGTGGGCGTGTCTATGGGTGTATACATGTATACACCCATTGACACATAGACAGGTTACTTGGCCTGTGGTGCTTGCTCGCTTTGCTCGCGGGCGTTTCACATCGTTAGGGCTTTGCCCTTATGTAACGCGATATTAACAAACGTGAAATAAAAGTCATGTTATACAAATAGTGGTTTATTTGTCGGTCTACACATTAATGTTGTATCTTGGAAGATTCGCTTTCATTAGTTTTTCTTCTCCTTCTTAGTCCTTTTTTGCGTCGAATCTGCGTTTAGGAAATCTACGACCTTCATCGCTGTCTTCAAAACTTATCCTTTTAATTATGGTGAAGAGCTCGTTTCTCGTTTTTCTTATCGTTTCCAAAATGCCATCTTTAAGTTCCTCCAGTTTATCTTCAGTGTTGGTTGACACGAAGTCGGTGTCGTATTCCGGTAAAATCATCTTAATTGCCTCTTCTGTTAGTTTAAAGACGTTTTCAGGAATAACAATTGTTCCGTGCTCCACCTCTCCTTCAGAGAAGTTAGGTGCTGTCAGTGTTGTCTCAAGGTTCACCTCTCCTGTTGTAATAATTTTGTCTAGAAACAACTCGTGGCTATTTCGCCGTTTTCTTTAGTAGTTTTAGTATAGATAATTAGAGAATCCCACTGTGTCACTCATGAACATGCAACGTAAAACTGAGTGTGACTCTTGGTATGATCACTTGCTCACCATCACATACGCCTCCTAAGATATTCCCCAAAATGATATTATTCTTTAGGCTCGTAACAGTCAATCTAGTTCCGTTACAGATCTTAGGAGGATTTAAGTTACGAATGACCATCATTACGCACCCAACCTTCAGTTTATGCTCTTGAAGTGGTAAATTGGAGCTTTTCATTCCATTACAAACATGGATTCTTCATCAACTGGTAGATATTCACTTCTATATATCACTTTACCGTTAATGTGGTCATAAATGATGTCGTTCACATCATCTATATTAACGTTAGTTGATATAATTTACCGCTTTTTAAAGTAAACTTTGTTCATTATGTTATTTTCATTGTTATCGTACGTTTCCAATCAATTGTTTTCTTGATATGCCCTGAAAACCAAAGTTCTTCGGTATCTGTACTTTTCCACTTAAAGTTGAACGGATAACCAGCAACTTCTTTGCAAATGCAACGTTAGCGTCATCTAGCGTCTATCTTTAGTCTAACGTTCTCAGTTAGCTCCAATTTAACCAAATTCGGTCAGAAAAAGCTGTTTTTTATACAATAATTCAATTCATCATTCTTTCCTCCTCCTCTAATGACAGGAAGGATTTGTCTAAAATCAACAGTGCATATGAATGGTATACCACCAATGAACGCATCTTTCTCTGTCATATCTATCAAAGTCACATCAAGAGCAGCAATAGTGTTCTTGTTAGCCATTACTACTTCCCTTTTTACCACCGGAAAAGATGGCACTAGTCAACATCGTGAATATATATACATTATGTAAACCAGAAAATTCATCTAATCAAGACTTTTCCCCCTCAGGCTACGCTCACTGGATCGGCGGCCTGTACCTGGAGCCGTCGTGGCGCTGGATCTTCAAGGGGTACGAGGTGGACCTTGACCCTCTGTCCTGGATCAGCATGGACGACCGCAGCAGGAGGGTCGGCCCGGGAGACATTTCCAACGGCCGTTGCCTCAGCTTCTCGTTCATTCACCGAGCCTCGAGCTACGCGTTCGGAGGGTGTGAATGCGCGTTCGAAAAGTACTACGTGTGCGAGGCTATCGAACGGACCCACAGGATGCTGTAGAAACGGACCCGCAGGAGGACATGGAAACGGACTCACAGAAGGATATAGAAATGGACACACAGAAGGATACAGAAACGGATCCACAGGATGCTGTAGAAACGGACCCGCAGGAGGATATAGAAATGGAGCCATAGAAGGATATAGAAACGTAAACACAGGAAGACATAAAAACGAAACTACAGGATGCTATGACTACGGACCCACAGGGGACTATAGAAACCCAGGTGTTGTTAGCAGCTTCGTCGGGCATTCTGAGGCAGGAATTTACGTTGTGTCAGTTTTTTTTTTTTTGTACTTTGTTAAAATATACTGTGTCTGGTACACATTGTTTTAGAGGAGTAGCCTAGAAGAAGCTGGTTTTACTCGCTCTCTCTATTTCTGTGTGTGTGTGTACATATATATATATATATATATATATATATATATATATATGTGTGTGTGTGTGTGTGTGTGTGTGTGTGTGTGTGTGTGTGTGTATAATGTGTATATATATATATATATATATATATATATATATATATAATATATATATATTATACATACATATATATAGTATATGCATTGATAATGAAATGCATTAATAATTTTTGTTTACCAAAATAGGGTAGTTTTACCTATCTGTTTGGCTGAAAATGTTATGTGCTCTAATGTCACAGTAGTATTTTGGCATCTGGGTGTGAAAACCATGATGTTACGCATAAAAAATCTTATGTGTAATGCCAGTTCTTATTGTTATTTATATGAAGATGCAAATAAAAAAATAAAGCTGGGAGACATTTATTTACTAACAACCTTACAGAAAATATTTCATAGTATACACATGTAACAAACGTAGAAAGAAAAAAATATATATACGGAAAACAAACATCTACAATAAATTAAAAAAGGTTAACATATATTTAGCAATATGTCAACACGAACACACTTTGTACATAAAGGGAAATAATAGATCATCCTACATCTGGTACCCGCTCTGGCTGTCGTAGGCTTTACTGATATAATCGTACTTGGAAGTTATCGTACAGAGAAAAGGTAATGATAATGGTCTATTTCGACTTGAAAATGAAGTCGAAAGATCATTTCCACTGAGAGAGCGAATCAAAAGGGTTAATCTGGAGATTCTGCAATGGCACAATTGATGAAGAATTCCAGGTATGTGCCAAGGTAAGGGAAATGTTGAAACGATTAAATATTTACATAAAATATAAGTTGTTGGAAGTACCAACACAACACACATGCATAAATACATACATAGATGTATTTATGTATGTACACACACACACAGTCGTATATATACATATATATACATGTGTGTGTGTGTGTATGCATACATGTATGTAATAAAAGCTTCATCGTCCGTTCGCTATAACGTGCAAAACAATTCAGCCAAACACATTACGAAATTAGCGACCTCAGCACAACACACTGCAGGAGCTGATACGCTTAAACTAAACATGTTAGGAATCCTAAAGATAACTGACCCAGGCCCCTGCGACGGGCAGCGGCGGAGCGGCCGCCCTGCGACACCCGCGGCGTCCCGGAGGCGCGGCGCTCCAGGTTTCCGTCCGAAACCCTTCGCTGTCCGAGAACAGGGGGATTAGACTATTTTTGGTCATCCGTCAAAAGCCCAGAGGAAAGTATTCGACTTAAGCTCTCACTAGACGCCGTCGTGGGAATCAGACTCGACCCTTGCGGGCGTGTCTAGTGAGTAATCCCTGCGACCGCCTCCACGTGTATGTACAAATTGTTCTATGGCGCAGCCCCCGCGGCCCTCAGACCATGGTCGGCTCTTCGTCTACTGATATTTCGCTGTAAATGTTATCATATTCGCTTTCTTTCTTCATCCTCGGCATCGGTTTCGGACGATGACTCAGGCAGGGCGTCGGGACTGCGTCCGAATCCGACGACGACGACGACGAGATCCGGATGATGGCCGTGTGGTTTTCGGTCGAGATGTCGGTGTCGCGGTCGTCGGTCTCCCTGCGGGCCGACGCGCACTGACAGGTCGCCTCGGACCGCTCCTTCCGCTGCCTCTTCTTGAGCGCGCGGACGGACCGCTTGTCCGCCTTCTCCGAGGCCTTCCGCGGGACCACCATGTAGCCGTAGTAGTTGAACATGCCCGGGTACTGCGAGGCGAAGGGGAAGGCCTGGTCGCCGCCGAACACGTTCAGGAGCTCGGCGTTGACGTCGCGCTTCCGCTGTCTGACGGTGGGGGGGACGGGGAAGTCCCTGAGGGGCGAGGCGACGGCGCTCACCTCGGACTCCCTCAGCGAAGGCAGGGACGAGGAGCACGTGGAGGCCGCGGACGAGAACTTGGGCGGCAAGGGCGAGCTCATGGCCACGGGCGCCACGGGGACGGGCTGGCCGACCTTCTTGGAGGACGAGCGCCCGCGGAGGAGAGTGAACACGACGAACACGACGGAGGAGATGCAGAAGACGCCGGCGACGCCCAGGGTGATGAACAGGTACAGCCGACATTCCTCCGACTCGACGGATTTCTGACTAACTGGCGCTGCTTCTGCGGGATTCGAGAGAGAGTGGATTAGGACCTTTAGTGAGGCGTTGCTTACCGTCGGCGGCCGGAGAGTCAGTCACTCGTTCAAGAATCTCTCGAAGGAATATCAAAACAATCTCAGCTTAATGACCCATCTGCGCAGAAGAGAAAAGCCAATGAGAGACAAGACCTCACCTGGAATTCTGACCTTGATGGCCAGGTTCCTCTCCCAGGACGTCGTGTTCTTGTGCGGCTTGTGGGCGTGGGAGGCTCGCCGGACTCGGGCGCCGACGGAGGGCGTGGGCGGGTAGGGGGGCGAGGAGCCGAGGATATCTGACGCAGGGATGACTTTGGTGAAGCTGAAGTGGCGCACCTCTCGCTTCTTCCTCTTGCCGAAGCCCAGGGTGTCCTCACCGGGTTCGCCCTCGCAGTTCACCTGCGGGACAGGAGGGGTCATTTCACATTCTGCAGTTGAATGTACCGCCCTGTTGCTTTGAACAAATGGCTATTTGATGGGAACAATCGTGTTGTCTGATATATCTGTTTATAAAAGTAATAATCTAAAAATTCATATTTTGCAATTTTTGTTTAGGTGACTAAATCCTGATCTGCAATCCGTCCATTTTCTTCTGCCATTATCATCATCACCAATATCACCATCAATAGTATCATTATACTATACTTGGTTTCCACACACACACACACACACTCACACACACACACACACACACACACACACTCACCGCCGCACACTCCTCCGCATCGACGCAGCCGATGACGTTGGCGGTGATCATGAGGTTGTCTCCGACCTCCATGTCTTGGAACATGAAGACTCTGAAGGTGAAGTTGTTGATGAGCGGGTTCCTCGGGTCTCGCTTCGGGTGCTCGCGCGCGATCAGCTGATGGCGGGGAAAGTCGGGTTACAAGTTGATAAGATGTTTGGATTTTTTTTCGGTGGCCAACTTTGTATATTCCGAATATATATACAATGCCATACATATATATGCATGTATAGATGTGTGTATGTATGTATACACAAAAATATGTATGTATAGATAGAGAGAGAAAAATAAAGACATGTAACAAATGTACTGGCTTATAAATAAGTAAATAAATAAACATAAGAATGAACAACTACAGAGCCAAACAAACCAACAGAAGAAACACAGACACACACACACACACACAGAGCGAGAGCACCCACCCTGTACGTGGGGTTCCTGCAGCCGTCGGCGAAGACGAGGTCGGCGGCGCTCAGTAGCGACCTCTCCCTCGGGGCGCCCACCTTCTGGATGATGATCGTGGTCAGGCGACTGTACTGCCAGCCTGCAACGGGAGGTCAGGTCAGGTCAGGGCCGTGGCGAGCGCTTGGCCTCTTATGGCGAGGGGAAGCGCTGTTTTTATCGAATATCTTGCCGTTCAATGATCAGATTTGCAAAGTGAGATCGAGCAAGAGAATTTGTTAATTGTTGAGGACAGTCAGAAGCGTCAGGCAACAGACTTTTTCATGGATGTTATTTGATACATTAAAATACATACTCGTCTGCAGGATTTACGTTAGCTGTGACGTATATATATATATATATATATATATATATATATATATAATATTATATATATATATATATATATATATATATATATATATTATACATACATATTTATACACACACATATGTGTGTGTGTGTCGCACTAGGCGATTTTCACCTAGCACTGTTTTAATGCTTATCAGGTCAAATTTGTTTGAATATATGCATAACAAACTTTTAAATGCTATTAATACCCATTTTGACGTGCAGGGTCGCATATATGTATGTATGTATGTATGTTAACATACATGTATGTATATATGTATATATATATATATATTATATATATATATATATATATATATATATTATATATATATATATACACACACACAACACACACACACACACACACACACACACACACACACATATATATATATATATATATATATATATAATATATATATATATGTGTGTGTGTGTGTGTGTGTGTGTGTGTGTGTGTGTGTGTGTGTGTGTGTGTGTGTGTGTGTATGTGTGTATATATTATATATATATATATATATATATATATATATATATATATATATATATATATATATATATTATATATATAATATATATATATAATTATGTGCGTGAGCTCGCGCGCCCTCGCGTGCGTGCGCCCGCGCGGATCTCCTCACCGTCTCCGCCGCGCACGATGGAGCGCAGCTGCACCTCCTCGCCCAGCTCGAGCTCCACCTGCGACGTGACCTGGTCGGCGAAGAGGTTGGTGCCGCGGAGCTTCCTGAAGAGGCCGATCTCGCACACGAACTCCTGCTGGCCGCCCTGGAACACCGAGGGGTCGCTCGGCTGCTTGCTGTGGGCGGCGGGCGGGTTAGTGCGGCGGGGAGGGGAAGGAGGGGAGGAGGAATGGAAGGAGAGAGAGGAGAAAGAGAAGGAGAGAGAGGAAAGAGAAGGGAGGAGAGAGGAAAGAGGGGAAGGGAGGAGAGAGGGAGAGGGAAGGGGAAAATTAAGGAGAGAGAGAAAGAGGGAGAAAAGCAAGAAGAGAGAGAGTTGGAAGGTGAGGGGAGAGAAGGAAGGAAAAAGAGAGAAGAGAGGAGATAAGAGAGAAGAGAGAGAGATAGAGAGATGGAGAAAGAGAAAGGAAATGAAAGAAAGAGGGGGGGAGGAGGAGAGAAGGATAGAAACAGAGAAGAAGAGGAAGGGATCGCGGAAGGAAGGAGAGGAGATACACAGAGAAGGGGAAGGAAAAGGAAAGGAGAAGGAAGGAGGGAGGAGGGAGAAGGAGGAAGAAGAAGAAGAAAGAAAAAAAAAAAAGGAAAGGAACAGGGGAAGAGGCAAAAAGGCAGAAAGAGAGAGAGAGAGAGAGAGCCGACAGACAGACAGATTTACAAGCAGATACTTGCATAAAGATATAGAACACAGCAAAGGAGAGAAAGGAATCATCGGCAGCAGCACATATTGTACCGAAAAAAAAGCTCGCGATAAGCATGAAAAAAGAGAAAATTACTGAAACAAAAATGTCATTCTTTTACATGTATCTTTAGCAAATGACGTGAGTTAGAGTAAAGGAACGAACACATTTCCAGAATAATAAAAAAAATCTTGGAATCATGATTAATTTGTGATAAACAGAATCATATAATATCTAAGTATAATATTCAAGAATGACTATAATCAACCATAGTACTGATAACCTTAATCAACTATGATATTGATAACGTTAACTTGCTTTTGTGCGAATATATTTGTTATTTTCCCGTAGGGGATCCGGAGAGAATAAAGAACTTTAAACTTAAAACGTAATTTCTAGTACAATAATTATGATTATATATACATAACTAAAATCTATTTAAGCGCTGCATTAGACCGTTACATGACATCTATGTAAGCAAGATGTGACAGCTAAAGCTAGTCATATACAAGTGTTCCTTTAGCTTTGGTATAAAGGAAGGCCAAAACAGTAAAATAAATGGTTATAAAACATGTGTCTGGTGGAGAGATAAAAAAATAAATAAAATCAACGTAGGCTCCCAGAAAATAGTGGCGTTGAAGGAAGTCGAAAGCCGTGGGAAATGTAAAGGGTCTGTGTTATGTCAGAAATGCAGGGCCTCCGCTGCCTTGACCTGCTTTGACCTTGCTGAGTGGGTTATTTCTCTTTTCTTTTCTTTTTCCTTTTTTTTTCTTCTTCTGTTTGAGTTGACGCCACTTCTTTGGGTTGTGTCACCTGTTAGATGTCTTGTGTCTTAAGTCTGTGATTTTTTTTAGATTTTTCTTTTTTTTCATAAGCATGCCGAAATTACATTGAGGACTCGAATCATTTTTTTAGATAGTATATGTGATATTTTCTTAGGGGACTGAAAACAAAAGTAAACAGGAAATGGAATTATAAATGAAGACTTCTATTAAATGGTGATAAGTAATTATATAGTTTGGATGAAACGGTGCTATACGTATATGAACACTTATATATTAAAGGAGATTATATTGAAACGACCACATGAAAGCATAGACCAAAATCCTTAGTAAAATTGCTAATCTCTTTGACTATCTAAACCCCCATTTATTAAAAAAACATTCCTCGTCCGAGAAGTGATAAAACGTGTGACACATCATGCAGTTAGTCGAAGAGAATAGTCTCCCGTACGTCCGTGACAGAAAACGAGAAGAACGGAAAATGGGAGGTGGGTGCCTACATTGCCCCTTTAGCGGCGTACATTGCCGTGGCTACCGTCAGCACATGCGTGTCTTGGGCCATCTTGTCCTGCGGCCGACACTTGATCTGGATGATCTCGTCCTCCTCCGAAGGAACCGCTCACCAGCGGGAAGGTTGAAGACGGCAGGTTGAGACACAACCACGTCTGCAAGGGGAAGACACGTACAAGGTCTGCTCTGTTTGGACGGGGATTCACCTCTCAAAATCCGCCAAGATAAGTCGGAGGAGAAAGAACCCGTTTTCCAGTAGAATAGATTTATGTGAAAATCAAAAGAAAACTTTTTGCACGGAATCGTCGCCCCAAGCAACTTACTTCGCCATTGGGCTGACGGCAGCGCTGCACGCCACATCGTTCGAGGTCGCGCACGATCAGCTGGAACATGTCGTTCGTGATCTGCGTCGGGATCATCCTGCAGGCCGTGTTGATGGTGGGGTCCACGGTGGGGCGGTCCTCGAACACGGGGATGGCGTTGTAGCCCACCGGGAGGTTGAGGAGCGCCATGAACGAGCTCGCACTGCCCGTGTCGATGCATTTGATGTCTGCCGATGAGGTGGTGGGAGGGAGTCGTGAATTTTTCATTTATTATTTGTGTAGTTTTGGTTTTGGGAATGGGACAGGATGGAGACGGGTGTTTGGGGCAGGATAAGGACTACGATGAGAGAGTAACCAACGGTAGATTTGTCATGAAACTAGATTTATACACATCAGCCATTTAGATAGTACTGATAGTGAAGATCCGAGCAACTGCAAGTGAAATCCAATCTGACTCATCTCCCAGCCAGAGCACTCCCCGGAATCCCTCCCTCCCTGATCCGCCCTTCGCGAGGCAGCGACGCCCTTGGAGGAACCCGAGGACTCACCTGTGACCTGGGTCCTGTCGGCTCCCGGCGGAGGGGAAGGAGAGCTGATGGGAATGGGAATCGCAGGCGGGCCGAAGGTGGTTCCAACGAGAGTGGGCGGGGGAGTCGCGGGCGGAAGGCCTACGGGCGGCGCAGGAGGCTTAGCTGATCCCAGGGGCGTCGAGGGCGGCCCGAAACCATCGGACTCGGGAATGGCAGGAGGGCGGATGGAGGGCGGCCGAGGGAAGTTGCGGTGGGTCGTCTCCTCCTGAGGCTGCGGAAGGAGGCGCGTCAGGTGGGGTTCCCTGCCGGGCTCACTGTGGCTGGTCTTTATCATTTTTGTCTTTATGTTATTATTATCATCTTTAATCACTATCATATATATTATCTTTACCATAATTACCGTTATTACTCTTACCAGTAATACTATTAACATATCTTTTATAAATATCATTATTATTATCATTGTTATTATTATTATCATTATTATTATTAACATTATCACGATCATTAACACTATTATCAATTGCTATCTTTATTATTTCTATTATCATAATTAAAATCATTATCATCATCATAATCACCATCACTACTATCACTACCTCCATTAACTATTACTATTACCTATTACTACATCTGTCATTATTACTACTACTATTACAACCATTACTATTGCAACAAT